GGGGGGGGGGGGCGTATCTGCCCCCCCTCTCTCTTCAGCATGCCCTTGCCAGAAGCTTGGCACTCGCGACCGTAGAAGACAGCAGGTATTCCTCAAGATTTCCGGCCATATCTCGCCCACACTCACCCTACAGCCTTATTTCTTACCAATCAAGCGGATGCGCGCCAACAACCGCCAATCACCGCCAATCAGTGCCTTTCTTTTTTTTTTTCTTTTTTTTTTAACAGAAAATAAGAGGCGAATTCTTTAAGCCGAACCAATTTACCAAATACCTGTCGAATCTGGACAGGACGGCCTTTCACGCCTTTTTTTTTTTGTGTGTCATGTTATTATGGTAGTATTACGGGGAAACCCCGTAGAAGCCACATCCGCGTGCTCAAGCCTCCAACGAGGGAGGGAACATGCGGGAGCACCACCCACCCACCCACCCACCCACCCACCAGCAGGTGGTGCGGCAGCTCCTGCTACAGCAAGGGTGGGCGATACCACCGGCCAGGGGTCAGCCGGTGGCATCATCAGGACCTACAGTAGCTTCTTCGATGGGCCAGTCACACTGTGCCTCCTCCCCTCCCCTCCCCTCCCCTCCGGTGGTGGTCCCCTCCCTCCCCCTATGAACATCAGCAGTTTCTGCTCAATGCCACTCGGGGGGAAACCAACGGCATATCTCTAGGTGGCGGGCGTCAACCTTGCCCAGGTAGGTACATATGAGGCCAATGGGGATTGAACCCACGACCTCCTGAATGCCACTTGCGTGCCTTAGCAACTGAGCTACCGGTAGGCCGCTGCATTCACCTGCATGTTCTGTATTACCAATCAATCTGTCATTCCCTCTTGCACAGAAAGAATCCAATACTGGCGGCGGCAATGCGCGCCACATCACAAAGCTTCCACGTGGCTGATGACATCCCGACGGGCAACGACATATCGATGACATGGTGGCGATGGCGACGGCTTCTGGAGGCGCTGCTGTGTCACTAGAAAGTTGAGGTTCCACGTGGCCGATGACAGGGATCCCGACGGGGACACGACTGGACGATGAAGACCTGGTGGCCACGGCGGCAGCAGCATCTGGAGGCACTGATGTGTCACATACAAAATTTTCCACGTGGCCGATGACAAGGATCCCGACCGGGACACGTCTGAACGCTGAGGTGGTGGCGATGGCGGCGAGAGTGCCCATGACAGGTATCCCGACGACGACAAGACTGGACGATGACGACCTGGTGGCCATGGCGGCGGCGGCGGCGGCTTCAGGAGGCACTGATGTGTCACATACAAAATTTTCCACGTGGCCGATGACAAGGATTCCTGATCGGGACACGTCTGAACAATGAGGTGGTGGCGATGGCGGCGAGTGCTGATGACAGGCATCCCGACGGGGACAAGACTGGACGATGACCTGGTGGCCATGGCGGCAGCAGCATCTGGAGGCCCTTTTCTTTTTGTTTTTTTGTTTTTTTTTTTGGCTTCTGTAGGGCACTGATGTGTCACATACGAAGTTTTTTTCACCTGGCAGATGACAAGGATCCCGACCGGAACACGTCCGGACGCTGAGGTGGCGGCAATGGCGGCGGGCTTTTCGAGGCGCTGATGTGTGTCTCTCGACAGTTTCCACGTGGCCGATGACGGGATCCCGACGGGGACACGACTGGACGGCGGCGTGGTGGTGGTGGCGATGGCGGCGGCGGCCTCTAGAGGCGCTGCTGATGTGCGAATAGGAAGTCGTACGGGTAAGCTAGCTTGCTTTCTCGCCCCCTCCAGGGTTGCCTCTGTATTGCACTCTGCAGCAGAGTGCGGCGCAGCCCAAAAAAGAAATAAAAACAAAGGTTTCCACACGGGGGTCCACGTCTGGACGATGATGAGATGGCGGCGATGGCGGCGAGTTCTTTGAGGCGCTGACGTGTCTCTCGACACAGCTGCCCAGTGGCCGATGATCAAAAGGAAGGAAGCCAACGGGGGGGAGGGGATGACGTGGTGGCGATGGCGGCGGCGGAAGTCTCCGAAAGAGCAGGCAGGCAGTCGCTTGGCAGGGCTATTAACACGGACGAATCTGGTCACATCCACGGCCACATTCACGAGTGATTGGAGCCACTGAAGAGCACGGCGACGAGGATATCCGCAAAAGGACACCCCCCCCGCGAGGCGGCAACGGCCAATGAAGGCAGCCAGCAACCAGCATCTTCTCCACTGGGCCAGCACTTTTTCACTGATGCATCTAGCCGCGTCTTCGACCAGATTCGGCTCCGACACGGCCGTCCTTGTACGAACACAACACCCAATCCCGTTAACCATCCTCGGTCAGAAGCCAGAACAAAGAGAATGGGTGCGCTTGCTTATGTGTCCCCCCCCCCCCTCTCCTCCCTCCCCTCCCCTCCCCCTCGCCCGGCTATTAGAGGGCCCCTTGTAAGGGGAAAAAAACGGCGTTCCGACGAAGAAGGCGCGCGGCCATCCACCAACTCAAGAAAGAATCAGGAGATATATATATATATATGGAAAAATGTACAGAAACAAATACGAAAAAATGTTTATATAGCAAAAAAACAAAATCGCGCAGAGGCGTACGGCACGACGTTTTGTTTGTTTACCCCATGCACGCTGTGTGATGGATGGGGATTTGACGATGATGACTTTCCTCCATGGACATATCTCATACCACATCATGACAATCATGACAATCATGATGATGATGATGATGACAATCATGATGATGATGACGACAATCATGATGATGGCGACGATAGTCGGTGATGATGGTGATGATGGTGATGATGGTGATGATGGTGATGATGGTGATGATGGTGATGATGGTGATGATGGTGATGATGGTGATGATGACGGTGGGTGGGCTAGAGTTGGCGCCATCTCCAAAGCGTTTTCATGACTCTGTTCCAAAGATAGGTCGAGGTGGTAGGGACGGTCATTTAGGGGATTGCCCTTCTAACAGGAAATCAACTTATTCCTGCCCCTGCTCCTCTTCCCACCCCTTCACTTCCTCCTCTTCCTCCTCCTGCTCCTCCTCTTCACCCCCCTCCCCCCCTCCCCAAAGGAAACTTAAGAGACGGTCACTCAGGGGATTGCCCCTTCAATAGGAAACCGACTTACTGTATTCCTCCCCCCCTCCTCCTCCTCCTCTTCCTCACCTCTCTCCACCTACTCGTCCCGCCCCTCGCCGCACCGCCTCCTCCCCCTCCGCCCCCCTACAAGGAAACTTAAGAAACGTGATTGAAAAGGAGATCGACAAAATCGACCGCATACTCTCCTCAAAACATCATCGCTGCCGCTGATCACGGACAGCAAGCATGATAGCGACGATTAATTACAACGCTTTCGATATAGCGACGATGATCATAATGATGATAACGATGACGATGACGATTGACGATGGACTATGGATGTATCACCCTATCCCGATACGAATGGTGATACGTAATTTTTCCTTTCACTAATGATGATGGCGCCTATAACCCACCACCTCCTGCTGAATAATCGAGCCAACCAACCGTTGTTGCACACAGGAAAGAAATGAAAGAGACACACAGCGAGAGACACACAGAGAGACACAGAGACAGACACAGAGAGAGAGAGAGAAAGCACTGTCGCCGTTGGATTAATCTCCGATCCAACGGACCAACTCAAAAGTACGGCCGGCGGGCTTCCTGGTAATAACCTACTGGTAATAACCAGGACGGCCGTACAGGAGGGTAGTCGTTAGGTAGTGGTTCTACGTACGTGACACAGCGGTGGACGCGACTGGCCTCACCACCCCATCAACACTGAATACACCACGGTTAACGACCACATGCACCTTGGTTGGGATCTCTACAAATGTCTGAATGTGGACTGTTTCACAGTTCCTATTTCAAGTCCTGCTTCTGGTCCACGTCCTGCTTCTGGTCCAGGTCCTGCTACCCACCTCCCGGATCCACCTCCTCTCGTACCACAGTAGGTACAGGTCCTCTGTGTACCCCTCCTGCTCCTGGTCCGGGTCCGGGTCAGGTCCTCTGTGTACACCTCCTGACCGGGACCAGGAGCGTTGGTTGGACCCGGTCCAGGTCCTGTTTCGGTCAGGTCCAACCAACGCTCCTGGTCCGGGTCAGGCAGGTGCAATCGTCGACGCGCCTGGTGTAGCTGACGTCCAGCTAATGCTATCCTGATCTGAGTCAGGTCCAACCAATGCTCCTGGTCCAGGCGCAGTTCCAGGTCAGGCTCGGTCCCGGGTCCACCTGTTGATCCAGGTACACAGATCCAAATCGTGCTCCTGCGCCGGATCAGGTCCAACCAGTGCTCCTCCTGCTGCGGGTCATGAAGCCCTGTGTCGGGTCTAACCGATGCCACTCTCCTGGTCCAGGTCAGAGGTCCAATCAACGCTCCAGATCAGGTCCAATAAACGCTCCTGGTCCTGGTCAGGCCCAAATCCAGGGCCTGGTCCACCCACGGATCCACCTGTTGCTCCAGGTACAGCAGGTCCAACCAATGCTCCTCGTCGCCACGGATCCGTCTTCTGGTCCAGGTGCAGGTCCAACCAACGCTCCTCGTGGTCCAGATACAGGTCCAATCGATGCTCCTCCTGGTTCAGCAGGTACAGATCGGCCTCCTAGCACCTATAGTCCAAGACATCCACCTCATCCTATTCCAGCAACAGTCCCACATCCTTCTACTCCAGGGAATGTCCGCCCCCCCACCTGGTCCTAATGCAGGTCCACATCCTACTGCTCCATGTCGTGCAGGTCCACATCCATCTGTTCCAGGTACCAATCTCCGTTCCCTGTACAGCCCCAGGTTCCCGCCACCTCCTATTCCAGGAACAGGCCCACATCGTTCTGCTCCAGGTAAATCACCGCGTCCCTACCTGGTCCTAATACAGGTCCACATCCATCCGTTCCAAGTACCGATCTCCGTTCCCTGTACAGCCCCAGGTTCTGCTCCTGCTATATGTGCTCACCTCCTGGTCTTCTTCGTCTCCTATCAAACCCTAAACCGGAAGCCAGCAAGTCTCTGCCGCTTTCGCGAGGGCCAGGGCCGGGGCTTTCGTCTACCCTCTTGCGCCGACTTGACCCCAACTGTACTGCTGTTGATCAGAACGGTGATGATGATGATGATGATGATGATGATGATGATTGAGACTTGAGAATGACAACGATGATGATGATGACAGAATCGGCATGTGGGGGAGGGGGGGGGAAGGGGATTACAATTGCAGCAGCAGCAGCCTTATCGAACGGTTCTTTCACACATCTTGTTCTGAATTCCACAAGTCTAGAGAGACACAGAGAGAGAGAGAGAGAGAACCCGTGCATCGAATGATTCATCTCATGAATCATGAATCATTCGATGCAAAGCAGGTCCAGATTGATTCATTGATCTCGTAGTGCTGTATGCCAAAACAGGTCCAGATTCACGCCTCTTGCTTTCTGTTCCACGAGAGGTAACTTGTGTCCCCAAGCGGCCTCGGATTCCTCCAATGGATTAGGAAGAAGAGAAAGGACGACAACATACACAACGCCCCCACCGTCAGATAGGCAATCCCGAGGAAGTTGTTGGCTCCTCCCAGCCAGCTTCCCGTGCTCAGGATCAGCTTCTTCTTCCCGCCGAAGGTGTACGTGTTGTACTGATTCACTATGGTCACGCTAATTTCACTCTTCGCGTAGAGTTTCTCATCCACCTTCCCCCACAGCTTTCTGAAGCTCGGTAATGCCGCTGTCCTCATCCAGACGATGAAGTGCTCGTTCTGGTTGATTGGTCCAGTCAGCGTGCTGCCGCCTCTGGTCGCAGGATCATTGTTGAAATTCTGAGGCATCACCCTCCCATACTTGTCCTTGACATCACTGTCCCAAGCAATGCCCTTCTCGTCAACATCTAGGGTACGATTAAGTCCAGGGGACAAGGAAGACGCTGACGACGGATCGAGCCCCGACGACGTCAGCGTGAGGCTATAGCTGTCGTTGAAAAAACTCCAGGCGACCAGTCCGCAGGGGACGATAGGTTGGCAGCTACCGGTCGCCCCGTCGCTACTACCATTGACTTGGACGCAATCCTTAGGCTTGCACTTAGTACTGATTCCCGCGTTGTCCCCCGTGCGCAGCTGCACATCGCTTCGGCTCTTCACGTACCGTCTGTGGTTTTGGTAGAAATTGTCCAGCTGGTAGTATACGAAGATGGGCGGCGACATGGTCCGGGGGATGGTCAGGTTGATGGTGCACAACTTGTCCGTCTCTGGATTGCGCATATAGGCATCTCGAGCCGCAGAGGAGGTCAAATCACGATCGCCCGGAGCGGCCATAGCCGACAAGGACCTGAAGCATTCATCGTCGTATCGCTTTCCCACTTCCACCACGGAACTTGACGCCGCCAACGCGATCCCGCCGATCGGAATGAATATCACGCCAATGACGAAAAACGTGCCTATCACCCACTTAGGTGTCAACAACGGCTTGCAAGCGGGCAGCTCTTGTTGCGTGAACTTGGAATACTTAGGTCTTCTACTACTTCCTTCCGTCTTAGAACCGCCGGCGCTCGTCCCATCGTTAGCCGCAGAACCAGAAGCAACCCCACTACTTCCCGTC